TTACAAATGGATCTGTGGGGATAAGCTGAGTGCAGTGAAACTGAGTTTTTTTTTTCTTTCTTTCTTTTCTGTTTCTGGGCCTTAAAGAGAAAAAAGAGAAGAAAAGGAAGGAAATGAAAAGAGAAGAGAAGGCTTTTAAAATTTTAAAATTTTAAAATTTTAAAATTTATTTTTCCTCTCTCATTTTCTGTGTCTTTATTTATTTATCTATCTTTGTCTCTTTCTGTTTTTTCTTTATCCCCTGTTTTTTCCCACGCCGTGTTTCCTACTTTCACTTTTCAAGTGTGAGTTGTAGGCTCTTGTTGTCTCCTCGGATTTGGTCCCTTCATTATTTCTTCTAGTTTTGGGATTTTGGGATTATTTTAGAATTATGAACTCCAAATCTTAAGTTACTTTTTTAAGGATATTTGGTGAAAAGTTTTCACCTAATCAATTGGATTTCATTCCTTTTGCTTTTTGAACAAATCAATTAAATTTTGAATTGATTTTACATTTAAATCGAAATTTGGGGTGGTTTACTTTAAAACTATTAATTTCTACATTATACTATATCATTTTTTTATCTATTACATATGAATTTATTTATAATATAAATCGATAACATAGGTAACATTTGTTCATAAGAAAATACATAATAACTTTTTTTAACTCGATAAAAAGTTTTATTAGAATCAAATTGAAATTGATTTTTTTTAATTTGAAAAATAGAGATTCAAATTCTGTTTTTTAGATAAGAAATTATCAAACAACTAATAAGTTAATATTTTATTTTATTTTATTTTATTATTTGGAGAAAAAAATAAAACATTAATGTGACTTTAGACCATAGTCATGAATAATTCATGTTGCAAAAAGTAACATTGATTAGATTATTTCTTTGAAGTTGTCAAATTGGCAATGATAAATTGAGTTATGGTAGTCAAAGATGACTTTGTAAATGACTTTTCCATCCTCAAGTTGTTGATGAGGAAGAGAGAAGGTTTAAATGCAAAAAAAAAAAAAAAATCTCTAAGCTATTTTATTTTATTTAAAATTTTACTTTTAAAAAAATATTTTTATTATTTCATTATACTTAAACCTTATCTTTTGATTTATATTTACAAATATTTTTATATTAACAAAAAAATAATAATGATTTGATATTTTTTATCAATGTGACATGTATCTTAGTGCAACTTAATGATGTGATCATATTATAATTAATGCATAACGAGTAAAATTTTTTTTCATTCCACATCAATTTTTAGAAAGTTTATTAAATTACATCATATGTCATCTAAACAAAAAAATATTAATTGATATTGAGTTTGACAATTATTACTTTTCTATTGAAAATCAGCTAGGATTATGAGTTTGTGAGTACAAATAAAAAAACCAAAGATTTTTTTATATAATAAAAAAGCATTATTTTCTTATAAAGTGAAATAAGAAAAAGAGGAAGAAGGAAAGAAAAGAAGAACATACTACTTTAAGGAAAGGTGTGTAGTTTAATTATTTTTTAGATTCTATTAATAAGTTGCAAGATGTTAATATATGTGTGCGTATGTCTATATGCAATAATAATAACATTAATTTTGTCATTAAATTTAAAAATAATTCAAAATATTTATCATTATTGATTTTGAATTATCTTAAAATGTTATTATATAAATTTAACATAAAAAAGTTAATTTTTAAATTAATGATTGATGCATGCTTCTCTTTATTAAAAATTTGAATTTGAGTTTTTCTTTTTTAGAACAAAAAAATTCTAATTCTCTGGAAAAGATGTTAGTAAAATTTGTCAAAAAGAACCTCATAAAAAGATTAAAAAGGAAACTTTTTAATCGGAAGATAAAAAAAAAAAAGGAATACTGTACTTAGAAAAAGGATAAGGAATATTGTGAATGTGGACCCGCGCGGTCTTTTGGAGCGTATTTAAACACATGACAACGTGGCGCGTGATAGAGGCGGCGGTTGGGCCACGGTGCTGGACACATGGGAGTTAATGGAACGGTTAACATGTCGCCGTCCTCGTATGTCGTGTAGGACACGAGGTTCAGTTTTTAAATTTAGAAGCGCGTGCTTTTTCAAACTGTTTCAAGGCTGTCATCTGTCTACAACCTTAACTTTTGCCAACTTGGCCTCCTTGCCTGTCTCGGTTGGCCACGTGGCCACTTTGACAGATTTTGTGTCAGCCACCGTGGCTGTGACAAAATGTTCCGGCGGCAGCCTATCGTTTTCCTCCCCCCATTCAACTCCCAGGAAAACAATTTTCCATCTCGTGTGGTTGATATTTAATTTTGGTAGAATTCAATCTAATTCAATGGTAGGAAGTTTGAACAATTCTAAAATCGATAATCTAATTTCAATTGTTTTGGTAAGTGTCATCATGATTTGAAGCTAAGTTACTAAATCCTAAAGTCTTTATATACTTTTTTTTTAGGGAAAGAATAAACTTCTCTACTTTGACAAAGGCAAAGTCATTTTGGCAAAATTAAACAATGTTTGAATCAAGTTTTAAATGGTCTACTTAAAATTATAAAGTTATTGTTTATTTTTCCTTACAAACCCATATATTATATTATATTATATCTTTCTCACTCAATTTATATTTTATAAATCTTGTTAATTTATTGTCCAAATAAACTTACGGAAAGGGGTTGTGCCAATGAGTACAATTGATAAAATTGAAACGTTACATAAAAAATTTGCATGATTTATGCGTAAGAATGACATACACAAATGGAGAAATGATCTATATTTTTTATTTATAAAAAAATTAAAAAGAGAAGTGACCATAATTATTTCTATAAGGTAAATTTAAATATTATTTAATTACTTCTTAATACGTTTTTCCTCATTTTTAATGATTTATTGATTTAATAATTAGCTAATGCATATGAGACAGGAAAATACCGTGTTCAATAGTGTTCAAGTGCTTAAAGAAAGTTAATGGGCTAGTGGCCCTAAACCATATCAACTATCAAGTTTGTAATCACTATATAAATTAAGAAAAGAAATTGATGAACGAAGTTTAAATAGCCATTCATTGCAATAATTATATATGTGTCGTTTAAATTTTTGGATAACATTAATGAAGTAATTTGATAGTACAAATTAACAAGTTCAATTTAGGGTAAAATATTTTATTTTTTAAGTTTTAATCAAAATTTCAAACTGATCAATTAGTTTTTAAAATCAACACTTCGTTTTAAAAAAATATCTTACACTAAACACATAGGTTCAATCTTTTGTTAACACTTAGTGTTTTTATTAATTTAATGATGTGATAATTTTAAAATAATAATTTTACCTTTTATTATTTTTTAAAATTACTAATATCTAATTTTTATTAATTAAAAAAATAAAAAAGCACCAGTCGACATTATTAAGATATAATAATAATTTTTTAAATTAATAAAAAAAATTCTAGTCATTTTATAATTTTTATTAATAGTATTTATACTTTTAAAATTAATAAATTTATTTAAAATTTAAAAAATTGAAGTATTTTACCTTTTAATTTACTTATTACTGCAATGATTTCATTGCAATATATATAAAGCCTAATTCACTAGATTTTTTTTGCTTTCGTTATACTTTGATTAAGAAACCTTAGTTAACTCTAGCCCTTCTTTCGGGAATAAGCTCACAATAAGCTAAAGGTTGCTTTTTGGAAAAGTGTGAAATAGTCATATTATGCAGTATGCATCACTTAAAAGAACTCGATTCCATTCCTTCAGGGGGTGTATTAGGCTTGGAACTTGGATACTTGGTCCTCCTCCACGTACTCCACGAACCACGTCCCCAAGCTTGCATGAGATGCACGTATCAAGGCACTGCCCCTTTCTTACACATGTCAATGTCCTTCAGATTTTCTGTTCTGTTTCTATAAACTCGAACCGTTTATTCAGAGTTTCTGTTCTTTCAAGCCCAACATGTCCACGGCGGTCAGTCTCATGAAACTGTCCCTTCCATTTTGTTCATTCAAATCAAGCACAGCTAAATTTCCCATCTCGCGAAGAACCACAAATTCCAACAATGCGGCTGCGATCCTGATCATTGAACAATCACCATGGGGGCGGCTACTAGCTAAAAGTAAAGTCCAGGGTGAGCCACCAGAAGAAGTTCCATTCAGGACCCCACGGGAAGTTCCTTCAGGGCCAAACTATACCCCTCCTTCAGTTCCGCCAGAGGTCGACCCTGGGATTCCCGAGACTCCTGATCTGGACCCTTCCGACACCCCGCTGGAATTCACCACCAACGATCCTCCGCCAGTTGGTCGTCCCATGCCTGACCCTGGCCCTGATTTTCCAAAGCCCCCACTTGGGGCTCCACCAACTGGTCCCGAAATTCCTGTCCCCCCACCTGGTAGGCCGCCGCCGCCTCAAGTGGATCCTCCCTTACCGCCTGATCACCTGCCGCCCCCATCAACACCCCCGGATTATGTGCCGCCACCGTCTGTACCTCCCGATATTCCGCCAAAAGGTCCACGTTTTGTTTTCTAGGGAGTAAATTAAACTTCTTGTAAAAATAGACGCACCTTTTTGCAGTAATAAATTGGATTCCATTTGCCGCATTATCTCCAACATAGGGATTTGCGTCCTACAAAATCTGTTCGAATCATTGCCAATCTCCAGACTAACAAGACAACGCTCCATGGAAAGACAAAGGGTTCGGGTTAAGTGACACTATGCCTATTCCCAGTTTCAAATCTCTGTGAGAACTTTTCAAGGTATTTAAAAATGAAATGTTGATGATCGAACCAATTATATTCAATTCTCTTTTTCAGATAAAAATGAATAAATGTTCATGTGACAACACATGCGAGCAAAGTCAATGAAGTGATACACAATTCCTAAAGGAAAATGAGAAAAACTTGAAGAAGTATGTTACCGTATAGTAATAAATGTTCACACCCGATATACCATACGGTGCTTCTTTGTGTATTATCCGATTCCGAAGCTAATTGACAGATTTGGGCCTCAAAGAAGCATCGTGTAGGCTTGGGTATGTGATTGTGGAATTAGAATTGGAATAGATCTGTTTGAACCAAAGTGTAGTTCTGGCCCAAAACAAGTAGCCCGACCCAAAACATTTATATCAGCTAAAAACAATTAATTACTATCTCATCAAAATAAAAAAAATTAAGTGCAATTAATTTTTTCTGAAAAAAGGCTAAAAGCAGTTAATAATTCTCGTATAATCCATGATTATTTTTCAAATAATATAAACTCGATTTTAATATGAAATACTACTATAGGTTATATTATATAGTTAATAATTTATTTCCCAAATAAAAGAAATTGTAATCCGTTGTTAATAAAATTGGAATCCCGAACGTGCCACGTGTCGAAAATATGTGTCTAATTTCATTTTCACAGTTTTTAAAAACAGGTAAATCCGTTGCGTGCGAACCGACCACAGGGCACGCATCCGAACTTTCCTTCAATGCCACGAAATTAATAAAAAAAAAAAAGCCGGAAAAGAAAAAGAAAAAGGAACGGAGTAAATCTCACTGAATCACGCGCTAACTTCAAAAAAGTTACAGAAGGGAGTCCAACGTCTATATATTCGGTCTCAGTCTCACATTTCATTTACACTCCACTTAACTCTCCGTAACTCCCCGAAAAATGGCTTCTCTCCCACGCGCCACTCCACGCTCCTCCGCTCCTCTCCCTTCCCACAACCGTAAGCATGTGCTCATTTCCGCGCCAAAAACAGTTAATCAAGGAAGAACAAGAAGCAGGACAAACCTGACAGTTATTAGAGTCGTCGATGGCGGTGATTCGTACCTCGATATGTGGAGGAAAGCGGTGGACAGGGAAAGGAAAGAAACCGAGTTTCAAAAACTTGCTAATAATCTCGCTAAGATTGACGATGATAGCGTTGGCGGTGATGATGAGAGTAAAGACATTATCGAGCAGAAGAGCGAGGAGTTCCGGAAGATTCTGGAAGTTTCGAAGGAGGAAAGGGATCGGATTCAGAGAATGCAAGTAATCGATCGTGCTGCGGAGGCGATTGCGGCGGCTCGCTCTATTCTCAAGAAGAACGGTTCTTCTCCGGAAAAGGAGGATTCCAAGAACGAAAATGACAGAACAATCAGAGTTCAAGAAGACGGTAAGAACTAAAATCTTTAAATTCGTAATTTAAAACGTTATTTATTCTGTCGATTTTGCTTTCTTTTTTCTTTATAAATGATTTAATTTTAAAGTTATTTTATTACTTTTATTTTATTTGGGGATGTAATTTCTTTGAAAGGGAGTGACATTTCTTGGAAGCAAATAAAAGAATCTGAGAAGCATTTATCTTTTTTGAGCAGTAAATGAAAGCATTAACTATGTTTAACTAGGCAAAGAAAAGAGATGCGAAGCTAACTTATCAAGGATGTGGCTAAATATACTTTTCCATGTGAAGCAACATGTACACATTTTATAGGCAGCAGTCAACATATTTTCAATCTTTAGAAGTAGAAGTAAGTTGTTACCCACTTTTATAATTGCTAGTATTCAAAATAAGATATTAAGATGTCTGTTATTTTTATTTTAGCAGTTGTCTGTTGATAATTTTACCAGAACCAAAAGGAGGAATGATCATCAGAGTTCAGTCTGTAGTTAAATTATTATTGTTTTACTCTTTTTGTGTTAAGTTTTATGAGGCAATGTTATAGGAAATTGAATCTTAATTTTAACAGGAAATCAGAGTGGGAGCATTTTTGTTACTCGGTCGGAAAATTCTGGGAATGGTACACCTGGTCCAGATTTTTGGTCCTGGACACCTCCTCAAAGTACTGATGAGATTTCAGATAATATGGATGGTTTGCAGACTGCTAAACAAACTTCAGAGTATCCAATATCGAGCAATCTGGTTTTGGAGAAAGATCAGTCTGTTGGTTTTCTCTCAATTCCTTTTGAGAGTAAGGCTTACGAGACCACCCGCAATCTTCCTCCTTTTCAATCGCTGATAGAGGTTGATAAAACAAAAGCATCTGAGATTGCAGTAGAGAAGACTTCTGTAAAAGATGAACATGACCTTGAAGTTGAATTTTCTGCACACGCTGCGGAAGCAGCTGATGCCCTTCATAAGGCCAAAGAATTATCAACCCAAGGAGTCCATCCAGATGGAACGAGATGGTGGAGAGAAACAGGAATTGAGCAAAGACCTGATGGTGTGATTTGCCGGTGGACAATGATCAGGGGTGTTAGTTCTGACCAAGCTGTTGAGTGGCAAGAGAAGTTCTGGGAGGCTTCTGATGAGTTTGATTACAAGGAACTTGGTTCTGAGAAATCAGGACGTGATGCATTTGGGAATATTTGGAGCGAATACTGGAGAGAATCAATGTTGCAGGTTAGTAAAACATGCAAATATGAAGCACACTAATACATTTCTCATCACTTTCATCTTTTCTCAGTTTACCTTCGAGGGGTTGATAACCGATAATTAATAGTGACACAACTATGAAATCTCAGCTATTCATGATCATGAGTGTAAATTCCATCTGCACTTCATGTAAGTATATGTGGAACCCCATATAATGACTGATTGGGATTGGATATTGTAGATTTGTAGAAAGATAACTGAATGTGAGACAAATCCCTTATAGGGTTAGCTCATCTGTCTATTCGCAACTGGATAACTAACTTTGGATTTCATAATTTAGTATGGGTTGGTTTTAGTGAATGATTGAAATGTGGATTTAGATACAACATCAAGTATAACTCAAGAAAAACCTGAAAAAGGATCGTTTGTTATAAGGTTAAGAGGTAGTATTAGATTTTTTGTAAGCTAGTTATTTTCTTACTGATCTATTTTTAGTACATTTACAAACACCTCTTTTTTTGGGAATCTCATATCTAGTTCACAGGCTATTGATGACAGCTTTTTTGTGCCCTCGTTTGTTTTCTCTGAATTATTGCTCAATTAATAAGTTTTAGGTTCTTTTTATAAAGCAGTTCTAAAAAATGAAGTATGTAAAAATATTTTTGCTCAGAATCTTGTTTGAAGTAAACTCGTTAGGAGGAAAAAAATCTGAAAGTGTTCATCGGTGCAGGATGGTGGGCTTGTGCATCTTGAAAAAACTGCTGATAAGTGGGGAAAGAATGCAAAAGGTGAGGAGTGGCAAGAAAAATGGTGGGAACATTATGATGCATCTGGAAAATCTGAGAAATGGGCTCATAAGTGGTGCAGCATTGACCCAAACACACCCCTTGAGGCTGGTCATGCTCATGTTTGGCATGAAAGGTACTAAACTTCATATCTAGTTCAGATATAATCTTGCACTGTTTTTACAGTCTGGAATTTGATTATGGTGACGATCTTGAACTGGTCGTAATTTTCTTACTACAGCATTTTCTTACTTACTGATCCATGTAGACATTGTTACCTGTCAAGTCCTCCATAAATTCTTCAAATGCTTAAATCCTTGTCCCTGTAAAGAGTTGGCAAGACGAATTGATTTTTGGGGTTACTTTTGGATCCTCTTTGTGAGGCTACTGAGCTCAGTTCTATAGCAATGTTTTTGATCCAATCATTCTTGTCTCAGCTTAACTGAACGCTTGAAGACATTGCCATATTTAAAGATCAATCTATGGAGATGTTATTTTCTTCCACTTTGATTTTACATGTTTGATCACATCTTTTAATTTGCACCTTTGGCAGGTGGGGTGAAAAATATGATGGATATGGTGGCAGCGTGAAATACACAGACAAATGGGCAGAGCGATGCGAAGGCGGTGGGTGGGCAAAATGGGGTGACAAATGGGATGAACATTTTGACCTCAATGGCCATGGTGTAAAGCAGGGGGAAACATGGTGGCAAGGGCAACATGGTGATCGCTGGAATCGCACATGGGGTGAGCACCACAATGGCTCTGGATGGGTTCACAAATATGGCAAGAGTAGTAGTGGGGAGCACTGGGACACCCATGTGGAGCAGGAGACTTGGTATGAGAGATTCCCACACTTTGGTTTCTATCACTGCTTTGACAACTCCGTGCAGCTGCGGGAGGTTAAGAAGCCATCTGAGATGTCTGAACAATAGATCTTTTATTTGTTTATTCATTTAAATATATTGCATGTACATCTTTCATACCAAAAAAAATGTAATAAGTAGTAATTGTTCCTCACGCAGAAACTAGTGTTTACAAGAAAAAATAATAGAATCTCCTGTCATACGTATATTGCTGAGGTTTGTATATTTCTCATAACAGCTTCCGTTTTGAACTTAGATAACGTTTGGTACGAGAGAAGTGAGAATATATTTTTTGTAATATATCTAATTAAATTATATTATAATATTTATTTTATAATAGCAATGTAAGATTGCAATGTAATTACATTACAACCAAGAGATGTAATGTGATTACAGTCGAAAACCAATGCAATCACATTACATTACACTCTGTAATATTCTTAAAGATAATTTTACCTTTCAATTTTATTATTTTATTAA